TTTTTTATATTTGCTTATACAGGTGGCTCAAAAAATTCATGAATGTGTTAATTTATTGTATGAATTAAATCAGGAACGGCTCAGTCCATTTTCTCAGAAAATTTTGGGAATACAATACTGTTACAGTAGACGCCGCTTAATATGATCACGGTTAATGTTATCAACCGCTTAGTGTGATCAAAATGGCCTGGAACGGGCCCACGCAATACCAATGCATTACAGGTTTTCCGTTTATTGTGATCAATGTTTCGCTTATTGTGATCAATCTCCCAATTCTTATACAAGCAAGATTTGTTTTTTTCAAGAAACGAGACGATTGAAAGTACTATTGTTTTTTAATGAACATGTATTGCTCTCAAAAGATACATTGGCTTATACTACTCACTTTATAGAGCCACAATCAGTGACAGACTTCTTCTCGTCTTTTGAATGAACGAATTTTTTCTGTTTTAAATTTGAATAGTACTTAAAATGAGCACGTCGAAATGATGAGATCTCAGCTTATAAGAGAAAAAAAATTCTCAGCCCTTTTTTTCTAAAATAACCAAAGGAAATCAATAGTCCCTTTCTCAGAATGATAACCAAAATTAAAAATAAATTCTAATGTTTATGTACCTTCATCTACCAGCATAATGAACACTGTCTTGTTCATGATTTTGATTTGTTTCAAGTTTTCCTGTCTCTGATGGTGGTTTTCGCTTATTGTTATCAGTCGGTTAGTGTGATCAATTTGTCTGAGTCCCAAAGTGATCACATTAAGCGGCGTCCACTGTATTTTAGTATTACAGTGCACTAATCCAAGTTGATGTACGTGTCTTGCAAAAAAACAGCTTTCGACCAATTTTTTTTAGAGGTAGGGTAATAGGTACAGGTCAGGGTTCTGTCGTAAATAATCTCAGAAAAAAATATAAATGCAATATATTTCGTTTCGTTTTCTGAAAGAATCTCGAGGATGAACTTCTTTTTCTTCATTGAAATAATCTCGAAAGCTCATTTTTGGAAGCAAAAAAGAATATGTAGAAGAATTTATAGTTCCTTTATAGAAATACAAGCAAGGTCTATTTTTTAAAGTAGTTTAAGTAGATCGTCTGCCCCTTAAAGAATTGCCAAGAAAAACAGAAATAGAGTAATACAGGTCAAAAAGCTGTTTGAAATTATCTTAGAAAAAAATATAATGGCAATATGTATTTCGTTTCGTTTTTTGAAAGTATCTCCAGGGTTAAATCTGTTTAGGTTTTAGAAGTAACATAACATAAGCTGTTTTTCTTCATTGAAATAATCTCAAAGGTTGATTGCATCGTTATTTATCAAGCAGAATTTTGAGATGTTGACACGAACTTTTCGGAGGGACCAAAAATAAAATTTTAAAATTTCAGAACATTCGGTTCTGCAATTTCTAAGTCAAATTGTAAGTAAAACATTGTTATAAATTTTGATTATTTTTACAAAAGTCTACATGTCTAACAAAAAAAAAAAACTCGGGGAGTAAAAATATACAAGTCAGTGCAGATGTTATTGCTCCATCACACAACTGCTCAGCTGTACCCCATTACCCTACCAAAAAAAAAATCCGGATACTTCTTTCGTCATATGATACATTTTAACCCTGCACATTTGAACATTTTACAACATCCTTAGGTTTTATTGAAACTAACATCCCCATTGAACATATTAAAAAGCACAATCGGATAAAATTGAGGAAATGACATTATGAAAGCTTTATAACAAAGTTTATTTGAGAATTACTGGCTTTGGAAAACCGGTTTTGCCGCCCTAGGGATGCAATGGGGGAAATGTTTAGAAAAAACATAACTCAGCTACGTTGATACCAACTGAAAGCTAATTGCATTGCACTGTTCCCAACTAGAAATGACCGAATTTAATTACGTTTTAATTTAATGGTAGGTAATGAGTTTACTAACGTTAGTTACTATGTCAATTTAATTTGGAGTAATTGCAGCAACGTAACAAACTTAAAACGAGATGAAAGGTGCTTTTAAGTAGGCTACATATTAATTAATGCGTAAAATACACTCTTCCACTCTCCCCCTGTATATTTAATGTAATTTCTCTTAGTTTATTTAGTTACATGAGCAGGAGCTGAGCTTATGCAAACCCCGTCGAGGCATCTAAATAAACGAACACTTTAAAAAAATCAAATCTATAAATAATTCAACTGAATAACTAAACACAAAAACTTTAAAACCAAATAAACTAGTTCATGGAAAAAACGAACAATAAAATTCTTATTTTCTATCAGTAATCTTTTATATAAAGCATTTGTATATTAGGTCAAGCACCACTTTGCACCAATCAATAAATGTATTCATCACTTATTCAGTCATGCTGTTATCACATTCATTATTTACAACTCAATTAAATACTGCAAATACACAAAACATACAACACAGCCCGCCATATGTCGCGTTAAAACCTCCATTTTGGACGCTTCAGCGCTAATTCTGGAAACATAGCGCTTCTTCACTCGATGTCTTTGATTCTGCTCCACTTAAAAAGCCACAACAATCTATTTTAAGCTCTTCTTGAGCTCTTAAGCCTCTTGTGATGGCCTCTAGAAGGATCTCGCTCAAACAAATAGCTAAATGGAGGTGGATGAACTCGCGTTTTTAAAGAGAATCTTTGCAAGCCGGCTTACAACCGTAAAAGGGGCTTTGTCTGACCGTTTTTTCTACATAAATACATCAAGTCTGACCGTAGACAACTCTATTCCAATGCGTTGAAGTGATTTTTTGTAGAGATAATCACTGAAATTCGTATACGTCTTCTTAATAAACATTTATTTAATAGTTTTCTGTTATTTGGCAAACTTTATTACTCTGCATTACAAAAGTCGCGCCATCTAGCGTTTCAGATGCAGATCTTAATCAATAAAAATTTGGGGAAGGGTTGTTCGTGGATTTTGGAATTCAAAGCGTCAAACAATTAATTGTTAATTCCCAAGTTAATATATGAGTCCGAATGCCGACACGCGTTTCCTGCAATTGAATCATTAATTATTACCAAATTAGCGTTAATTAACAAGACTAATGGTAGAACACGAGTATTCAAATTAAATTACCGTGTCGTTATGAAATACTCGTGTCATTTTTATCAGTTATTTATCTTATTTATTGGTGTGACGCTTTGTGGAACTCGTTGGAAAAGGTGAATCCCAACCGGTCATCAAAAATTTAACGTTGTTTCAAGTCCATTTACATCCAAAGATTTACCTGAGTCTCTTCTCCAAGGAGAAACCACTCGAAAATGCTAAAAAGCACAGCTCGAAGCTCCCAAGTGTTTGCGTTGCATTAGGAAATTAAACAAAAACCTCAATGCAAATATCATCGTAACGACTTTAACCTCCACATAAAATTTGTCGAAAAAATATATAGGTAAGTAGGCCAATTTTCATTCCAGCATTGAACGTGCAATGCTGCAGCCTTTTCATCGACAATAAATTTAAGATCTTAGATAAACCCGCATACGTTTTCTTTGCGAGGTCACGTCAAAAGATTTTTTTTGTCCATTTATGATAGACTAACGTTTATACAACCATTACGATTCAATCTCGAGTAAACCGACACAAAGACAAATATTTAAATTTTGCTGATTTACGGTCGCTGCTCTTTGTTTACTGGCGCTAATTGAAATGCTCAAAAACTTAATTAAGGGTCGCCCGAAAAAGATAATTGAGGGGGCTTTTCAAGGGCAAAAACGGTTTACTGCAAAGCTCGCAAAAACTATGCTGAAAATGAAAGCACGTCGCGGCTATAAAAATGGAGGAATTTTCCGCTGTTGCATGGACAGTGTGCCAAAATTTTTAATGGACAGCCGCAAGTTATAAAAACAGGCATGAAAAGGAAAGATGGATTTTCGTGGGGATTTTACTTGGGTTTATGGCAGTGGCGTGGGGCTTAGGGCATGACATTAAATTTATTTTATTTATACATGAACAAATAACGATTGTCAGTAATAATAGACGGCAACAGCTGAGAAAGTGGAGTTTATTCACGAATTAGAAAATCATAAACTGTGAAAGTATGTAAACCTGTTCGCGTTAAATTTTATTTGTATTGCGAAAGTTGTATTGAATTTCCACAGAAATTAATTTTGCGTCTATATTAAGAACGCTGAAGACCTAAATCTGACCAGTAAATCACAATTGCAAAAAGTGAAATGTCAGCTTAAAAAATGAAAAGATGCGAACAACGAATTATTCGTTACTTTTAGTTGGTAAATAAGATTCTGCCTGAGCATTTACCGGTTTATTTAAGTTGCAATTCATCCGAATGAAATAATTTTCAAGCAAGTAAACAGTTAAAATTTTATTAATGACCTAAGTAAATTTGGACTATTTCTTTACGTTTTCTATTTATTATGTATTATCTTTCTTTGCGTTTGCATTTTGTGTATCAACTTCTGGTTGTAACTCAATATCTTGCACCGTTTATTATCTGTTTGTTTGTATTTTTATTTTGTAACAGTGGCAAATACAATAAAGATTAGAATTATTTGTCAAAGCTTTATCCTATGCACGAAAAAATATATTCATGAAGAACTATCACCTAAGTCTGTGTAATTTAAACGCACAAAGATACTATATAGTAATATATAATAATAACATATGATTCATCCTTGGTTTACAGTACAACTTAAAATATGTCGGTCAAACAAAGCAGTATTTGCGCAAGAGAATAAACCAACATAAAAGAGATTGTAATGCAACTGAGCAATCCAAAAAAAAATAGCCACCATTTTGAAAATGGCCACCGATTCGATTCAGCAACGTCAAATGTAAAAGGTAAAGAAGGATAATTCCTTCAACCTTTTGTAATCAAAAGAAGGTTGATTGGTGCGATGACTCATATAAAAAAATATGTGCATAAACAACATGATACTGATAACCTCAGCTCAATTTACAATCCATTGTTATGCATTACTACAACATTTATTTAACTTCTTGTATTCTTGTCTTTTTTGGGGAAAGTGCTCATCACAATGCAATATTTTTGTTTGTACTACACTGGTTCATGATTCCAGTTTAGTACGGTTTAACGCGCCTATAGTTGAATTGTAATTAGACGGCACACATTTCTGAACGCGCCCTTATCCGAAAGCATTTAATTACATCTGTCAACAATGTCAATTGCCTCCTGGGTGGCTTACTAGGTGTACTTATCTGGTAAGTTGCTACAGTCGTAAGAAGTCTGAGGTTAGTATTGTCATAAATTTCGTTTTTAATCTGTCGTTTTGAGGTTACCTTTGTGGTTTTTGTGTTTTTCCTACAACATTTAGTCGAATCTTAAACATTTATTGTCTTAGAGAAGCCCCAGTAAAGGGGTGCAATGTTGGTGAAGAATTTTTCTGTTAATTATTGTCCCGTATAACATGGATAAGGACCATATCATGTAAAGTAAGTACTCAGCATATTATTTGGAGTGAAAAGAACACTCAATTTTATGATGTTTTGTTAATTACAAATACCTGAATTTTTGATTTTTTTGTTTAACACACCCATTGTTCGCTAATTAATACACAAGCGCCTATACATAGAATAATCTTCCTTTATATGTTCATGTAAGTTATATAAAGTTTTAAAATAAATAAACAGGTGGAAAGTTTTTGTTCCACGAACTTTAATTTTTGTTTTCGTAATAAACGTAGAAATAGGCAAATTTAATTAGTGACAAAACGTATCTACTAAGCACTTAATAATATAATTCTACTTAAAAATAAAGGCATCAGTAATTAAGAGGAGGGGGGCGATAAACTAATTACATGAACCTAAATATAGTCCGGGACCTGATATCGTGAAAACGGATAAAAATATTTAAATTTTGTAAACGCCATTGTTTTTACCCTCACGGGGGAAGCTTAATTTAGTACACTGTTCTTAAGGACGGCAGTGGATAGTTAAATTTTAAAAAAGTTTGATCAAACTGATTGAAAAATTGAGCTTCTGGCAAAGTAGCATAAAAGTCTACAAAATTTCTGGGATATAGATTCAGATTAAGATTTTCAAAATTTTCTATTTCAAAATAAAATTTTCAAAATCTTACACCCAAAAATGACATGTTTATGTTAGTGGTTCTGGAAAAATGATTGAAATAACAAACAAATGTCTGGGTAATTTTCAAAATTCCTTAGAAAACATAAAAATTTCATAAATACAATACCACCAGTGAAATATCCAAAAACTGCATAATCGAAACATTGAAAATCCAGAAACTGAAAAATCGAAAAATTAAGAATAAAAAGACTGAAAAAATCCAAAATTGGAATATCGAAAACTTGAGAAATCGAAAAGCCAGAAACTCGAAATACCGAGAAATCGAAAATCAAAAAATCGAGAAATTGAACAATTAAAAAATCGAAACATCGAAATCTCGATAAATCGAGAAATTTGTAAAATCCACAAGTCTAGAATTCGAAAAGTAGAAAAAATCGTAACATCGAAAAATGAAAAATTTAATAAATCGAAAAACTGAAAAACGGGAATATCAAAGAACTTAAAAAAAAGAAAAGCCGAAAAGTCGAAAAAGTGAGAAGTCGAAATTTCGAAAAATTAAAAAACTGGAACACTGAGAAATGTAAACATCAAACGATCGAGAAATTGCAAAACCCAGCAACCGAGAAATCAAAATAGTCCAAAATCGAAAAATCGAAGTTATATACTGAAAAATTTGAAATTAAAAAAATCTATAAATATCGAAAAAAAGAGAAATTGAATAACAAAAAAATAGAAACACAATTATTCGTCGTGAGCCAGGAGCTTACTTTCAATATCCGTATTTTCTACAAGAATTACCATATGAAACATGTTCTTCAGTGATGATGTTGCTAAAAGAAAACTATATGTATTAAGTAAAAAAAAGAGTCAAAAGATAAGCCCCGCCCATCTGTTTGGATCTCAATCGTGATGAATTTTCTATTCGTCGTCAGATCGCGGGGCGGAGCGTAACTGCACAATCCATATTTCCTCTTTTAAAGATGTTTTAAGTTTCTTGTTGTGAAAAGACGACTACGTATATTAAGAAAAAAAGGCAAAATATAAGCCCCGCCCACCCACCCGATCTCAAATGTGATGATTTTTTTCATTCATCGTGAGCCAAGGGGTGGAGCTTAAAATCCTTAGTTCTCTACAAGAAATTAGCACGTAAAACATGTTTTAAGTACCGTATTGTCCGAAAAATATTTTGTATATTGAGTGAAAAATAAAGCCAAAGATTAAGCCCCACCCTTCCGTGTCGAACTTAATCGTGATGAATTTTTCATTCGTTGTCAGATCGAGGGGCGGAAAGTAATTGCAAAATCCATATTTCCTGTTTAAATCATGTTTTAAGTTTCTTATTGTAAAAAAAACACTATGTATATTAAGAAAAAAAGAAAAATTAATAACAAAATTTAATTTTTAATGAGATTTCTATATTTTTGTTATCCCATCTTCTCAAATTTTTAGATCTAGATAAATTTAGAAAGTCATTAACATTGTTTTCAAATTTTCCAAACATATTTAACTTCAGATTCAGACTTAAAATTTCAAATTTCAAATTAATATGTAATTTCTCTATCTTATTCCAAAAACAGTTTTTGTTTGATTTTTCAAGTTAGACACTTGAATTTTTAGACAGTCGACTTCTTGTTTAAGGATTTCTTGTTTTAGATTTTCTTCTTGAAGGACTTCTTGTTTAAAATCGTCCGAAAAAACATGTAGAGGAATAACATCGTCTTTTAATCTCAAATCTATTGTTACGAAATAAACCCACATGCCGCCCCGGTACGACGCCTATGGGTTCTAGTATTTACGGCGATGATGACTCATTGCCGGTGACGCCGGCCGGAGAAAAGCCTGGAAGCTGATGTTGCGATGGGTGTTCTAGAACAAGCCTAAAAGAGGTAACGGAGACCTTCGAGAAGGACCACACTGCAGTTAGTATAGTCCAGACAATGGGAAAAGTCTAGTCGAGTTGGAACTATTCTGCACATAATCGCTGTAAATTGGAGTTACTGAGAAATAAAATTGTTGAGTTTAACCTACGACGATTTTAATTACCGATCAACGTAACACTATAGACAAGTAAAAGCTGTCGTCTTGAAAATGAATATACATAAAAAAAGATAACTAAATGTTATTAACAGATTCTTAAATGTACTTCACAAATTTTAGAATTTTTGTCGGCAGTTGGGAAGTTAAAAATGTGATATACTGCAAAGAATTGTTGCAGTTATTTAAACAGCATTTCTCCATTTTTGCTCTTTGATTTTACTGACGTTCTGTTTTTTTTTCCACTTTATTTGTCCGAACTCTCTACAGCAATTCGTATCAAGGCACTCCATTCTAACAAAATTGAGACTATTGCACACAAATTAAAAAGTCTCAATCAGACATTTAATGATAATAAGCTAATGTCAAAAATACAATCATCTCTACCTCAAAAATTACGACTGCCTGGAAATCTACTCAAGAAAATGATAAAACCATACCGAAATTGATAGCTAGACTGTTATCCGAAGAAAACCGGACCCAGGAAAGTAAGAGAGATATTGGATTTGAAAGTTCAGAGACTTTTCCTAAAGAAGACAAAAAATGGACAGCATAAGATTTTATAATTGATTCAGAATGTCCATCTCATATGGTCAACTCTAAAGTTATACTGGGTGATTTCGAAATGGGTGCAATAAAAAAAAAGGGGAATAGCTCACAATAAGACTGATTTTAGCAAATGATACACGTTCTAAGAAATTAAAGGAGGGTGGGTCGGGCTAGTACTTGCTAAGATAAGACTGATTTTGGCAAATGATATACCCTCTAAGAAAATAAAGGGCGGGTGGGTAGGGCTAGTATATTTCCTAAGGTACGACTGATTTTGGCAAATGACATACCCTCTAAAAAAATATAAGGCGCATTTTTTAAAATAAGACTGAACAATATCAACTTTTCTCCATTTCACTGACTTATTTTATTTACTGTAAAAGGAGAATTGAATACAATTTTCAAAAGAGATAGAATTTAAAATTTAAAATAAAGTCAGAAGTGTAGTATTCTACTCGAACAAGGTAATAGTTCAATTTTGGGTAAAAGAGTCGAAGGAATTCCGTTAGCAAAATGACAACAATTCAGTAACCCAAATCTACTTTTCTGTGTAAACCATTAAAGAACAAATTTGATTGCACAGCTAAGTACGTAGGTCGGTTTTACAATATTTACAACACCCATTTACAGACCCCGACACAAGTTGTCTCTTGCTTTACTAGGAAGAGCTTTGATGTGTTAACTACACCAAGCCCTCCTTCAACTTTCTTTTCGAGTTCTCTTCCTGTATCAATTAGTTCGTGTTGGGTTTTCGTAGCTATGTCTAGAAAAACTTATTGAAATTCTCTCCCAAACCATGGTAGCTTCAAGCTCCAAACTCGCGATCGTGGTCGTGATAAGACCGAAAGAATACTGCAAGCTGAAGAACAAATTTTGGAACGCGTCGAAGAAGAGCCCGACATGAGCACTCGCCGACTTGCAGCTGAAGTCGGAGTTTCACAGTTTGTAGTGCATCGCATATTAAAAGAACAAGGCATAGATCCATACCACGTTCAAAAAGTGCAAGCTTTAAAGCCCGCTAATGTAATTTACTGCGAATAATTTTTTAAATTGCATTCTGTTTACGGCTTGCAGGATTCACTCGCAATGCTGCTTTCAACAGCCACAACACTCACATTTGGTCCGATGAAAATCCAGACGCTCGTCAAGAAGTACGACTTCAAGACGGTTTTCCATAAATTATTCCGCTTATTTTGACCTAGGTGTGGAAGTACCTCTAGGTAAATCTGTTCGCATGTGGTACTTGTATGATGGAGCACCTCCACATTTTGCTAGACGAGTAACTGAATGGCTAAATAACCATTTTCAGTGGGTCGGTAGAAGCGGCCCAGTAGCTTGGCCTCTGTGTTCACCCGATCTCAATCCGTGTGATATTTGTCTGCATCACCAAAAATTGATCCTTCCAGGACCATTATTTATTTCTACAACTGATAAAATCTTTCGCAGTGACCTTTAACGATGAATGAATATAGCAAAGTAAAAAGTCGGTTTCACTTTTAGTTGAAATGAAACAAAAGAAAAAGGAGATGAAAAAACACTTATAGGAGGGGATTTTAACGCAATATTGGGCGATAGGGGAAGAAGAATAATAGATAAAGAAAAGGGAGAGAAAAGAGGATCAAAAGATAAAGCAAATAACAAAGAAGGGAAAATATTGTGGCAGATAATAGAAGAAATGGGATGAGAAATTTTGAATGGAAAGAAGGAAGGAGATGAAGAAGGAGAATGGACGTACGTAGGGGCGATGGGAGAATCAATTATAGACTATGGGATTGTCAACGAAGAGGCGTGGGAAGAAATAGAGAGTTTCAAAGTGGGGGAAAGAGTAGAATCAGACCACATGCCTCTAGAAATAAAAATCAAAGGAAAAGAGCAAGAGTACGAAAAACAAGAGAGAAGAAACGAAAGAAAAGAATTAGAAAAAAGGATATGGGTGGAAGAGTGAATTCAAAGATACAGAAGTAGACTAGAAAAAAAGTCATTCGAACTAAAAGAAGATATAGAAGCTATGATAGCGGAACTGAGCAACCTAATTGTAGAAGCTACGGAAAAAAGAAAGATATACCTATGGCAAGGGAGGAATAATGGATGGAACGGAGAATGTAGTGAGTTGAACAGAAAAGCAAGGGAAAAATTAAGAAAATGGAAGAGTAACAAGGGAAGGAAAGAAGAGTACCTAAAAGCAAGAGAGAATTATAGGAGAAAATGGGAAGAAAGAAAAAGAGAAAAACGAGAAGAAGAAGAGAAGACAATAAAGTCCCTGAAAACAGAAGAGCAAGTATGCAGAAATATAAACAAGGAACGGAGAAGGAAGACTGAAGTCAGCAGGAAAATCAAAATACATGAATGGAAAACACGCTTTATGGAATTATTGGGAGGTTGTGAGGAAAAATGCTGCAAAATAAATAACGGAACCACAACGACGGAAGAAATGTGGAGAGGTTCGGAAATAACAAAAGATGAAATAGGAAGACAGATTGAAAGACTGAAAAGAGGAAAGGCACCAGGAGGGGATGGAATCCGGAACGAAGCGTGGATGTTCGGGACAGAAGGAGTGAAAGAAAGGATATGGGAAGTGGTAGATGGAGTTTGGAAGGGAAAAGGGTCTCCTCGGCAGTTGAGAGAAGGTATAATAATCCCATTATTTAAAAACGGGCAAAAAAGTGATGTGAAGAACTACCGGGGGATTACCTTGCTCAATACGGCGTACAAGATATACGCAATGATATTAGATGAGAGGTTACGAAAAGAGATGGAAGCAAGGGGTATGTTAACAGACGGTCAGGTAGGGTTTAGGAAAGGAAGAGGTACTATGGACAATGTGTACATCCTGCCGCATTTAGTGGGAAGAGAAATAAGGAAAGAGGGTGGACGAATGTACGCATTGTTCATAGATTTCAAAGCAGCGTTTGATAGTGTGAATAGAGAGAAAATGTGGGCGTATTTGAGAAGAAAGGGAGTAGATGCATACTTGGTAACGAAAATGGAAGAAATATATGAAGAAACAGTAAATACGGTGAGAGGGAATGGAATAGAGAGCGAGAGTTTTTATACAAATAGAGGAGTGAAACAAGGATGCCCACTCAGCCCCGCATTGTTTGCAGCTTATCTAGGAGATATAGATGAAATGTTCAGAAAAGCACAGACAGGAAGGGTGGTAGTCGGCAAAGAGAAAGTGTGGTTGTTGGCGTATGCAGATGATTTGGTCATTGTGGCAAAGAAAAGAGAAGAAATGAAAGCAATGATTAAAAGTTTGGAGAAGTATGTAAAAAAAAAAAGGAATTGGAAGTGAATGTGGAAAAAACAAAAATGGTGGTGTTTGGGAAGGAAGTAAGAAAGGAGAAGGAAGAGTGGGCATGGAGAGGGAAGAACATTGAACAGGTGAAAGAATTCCAGTACTTAGGATATACATTAAAGAGCAATAACTCAGATAGAGCGCATATTCAAGAAATGGTCCAAAAAGCGAACAAAGTGATAGGAATAGTATGGGGAATAGGAGAGAGAAAATTTGGACATGATTGTAAGAGAAGAATGATGATGTTTGATAGTTTGATCAAAAGTGTATTTATGTACGGAGCTGAGATTTGGGGATGGAGGGAATATGAAGAAATAGAGAGAGTGCAAGAAAAATACTTGAAATGGACATTGGGATTGGAAAGGTATGCGCCAGGGTATATAGTGAGAGAAGAAACAAAAAGGGAGAAAATGAGAGTGGAAGCGGGTAAAAGGGCGGTTGGATTTGAAGAGAAGTTCAGTGAGAGAGGTGATTGCAAAATATTGCAAGAAAAGAAATAAGAAAGGAAGGGGGAAAACATGTTTGGAAGGAAAGGGATATGCATGTGGAGAAATAGAGGGAATGAGAGAAATGGGAAGGAGTATGAAAGAAGAACTGAGTGTAAGAGATAAGGATATAGATAAGCAAGAACGCAGATCGAGAATATCGGAGTCTAGATATAATGCACACTATAGAGAAATAGTAAAGGTTGAAGTACCAAAGTACACACACAGAGAGAGTATAAAAGAGAAAAGAATGATGGCGAGATTTAGGTGTGGAAATGAAGACAAAGAGAATAATTTTTGGATGGATGAAACTGACAGAAGGTGTAGGATATGTTGGAGAAAGGGAGAAACAATAGAGCATATGCTGGAAGGATGTGAAGGATTGAGAGAATCGGAGGAAAGTAGGGAAGAAGTGCTAAACGAGGATTTAAGAGGACTGGACTGGATGGAAGAAGTATGGAAGATAAGGGAACTATGGCAAGGGGTGGACAAGCAGAAAGAATAGAAAATTTATTATATAACACTCGAATATTTATTTCATTTTATTTATTTTTATTTTTATTGATTTATCTGATGTAGATTAAGTTAGTTTGTACCCCTACTGGGAATATTATTAAGCCTGTAAGGCAAATAATAAATTAATACTACTACTACTACTTTTCGTGTTTACAACGTTTTATTCGAACGTTTTTCCACGTATTGTTTAAAGGGTGGATCAGTGGTAGTGCCTGGGGGTTTTGCCCCATTCCACTTTTAATTTGTTTTTTCTATATTTCCACATTACTATGTGATGCCATGGTTAGAATTATTGCATATAGTCAGGATCACGAAGCAATGCGTACACGTCACGGACTCTGTATGACGTCATGCGTCTACCACGTTTATCATACAAATGAATCGGTTTGAAAACTGTCAACAAACATGTCGGCTTGTTATTGTTTTGGTTTGTTCTATTTATGATTTTAGCATGAGAAGACCGTTTAGTGTGAAGCAACAGTTAAGAAATAAGCTACACTTGCAGTGTTTCAGCACACAAGGGCATGCTGCAGGCTGCATAGATGCTATGAACTGCAAACTCAGGCACAGGAAAGATCATGACTGTAACCCCTTTCACGTGTTCGTAGTCACTGAAGCCTGCCACTCACGTTCCAACGCCGCGGTACAATTGTGTAGGATATGACGAAATCGAAGTGTTTTTGAACGTCTGTGTATGCGACAAGCAAATCGGGTGGATGTGGACGGTTGGTGAACAAGTCTGTCTGCAGCAGTACAATCGTGTTGTATTGGATGGAAATGTGATCGTGTGGACAGTGTACGTTATATAAACCGTGAAAGCAGGTATAAAAGTCCATTTTCTTCGGACATGTCAGCAGAATTGTACAGCAGTTGTATCCAATACAATCGTACCCCGGCGTTGGAACGTGAATGACTGGCTTTAAGAACGTTCATTTTTGCATTGACTGCTGGTAAAAACTGCTGACAATTGGGTGTTAAACACATACTTGGTGGTACAAGGCTTCATTTTGTACTTAAAGCTACCAACGAGGATGTTAACATCCATCTCAAACAGACAGCATTGAACAGTTGTGACAGTATTCAAGTTAGAGAAATATGCTGACCGTCTTCAATGCCACAATAGGCACGTCACATCTACAGAATAAGTTACTTTATTGACATGGAATAGTTACAAAAGTAAAGTATAAACAATAATAAGTATGCATGTTGCACAACGTCGTCGTCTGACCAGTGATTTGTATATTTGGCCAGTGAAGTGATAGTGTGATTATAAAAGACATCAGCAGAACATGCCGCTAGTACAATCAATTAGGATGGTAATGGAAAATAACCTACATGTTACAGTGGCTGAATGCCCTCTGCAGTATTAGAATCTTCACTGTCATAATCACGAAAACTATAATCTGAATCTTCGTTAATGTCGATTATAAACGGCACAATCTCTTCACGGTCAAATACTAATTCCCGTTCCCACCACTCCCGTATTATTTTATTCATATGGTCAACAGTATTTTTCCACATTGTGGGCGTGACATCTGCTAACGCTTCTTTCCACATTTCCACGGAATTTTTTTAACCATAACCATCACGCCCAATGTGTTTGGAATAAAAATTTGTAGTAATTCCCCAAATATTTTCTATAGGGTTAAACACACAATGATATGGCGGCAATCGCAATACTCTATGGCCACTCTGTTGGCCCAATTCACGGCAACATACGTTTTTGGAGGTTTATTTCTGAAAAACATGATATTTTAAATGAAACGATAGAGAATAGAATATGCATTACTGTGCAACCAAATGAAGAAGTTCCGTTTTTAACAGCTGTGAATCTGAACTTATGTCATCTTGTTAAAGCCATTCACGAATTTCTGCTTTTTTCCATGAACCACTGGGACATTTGTTTGCAAGGGTACTGTGGTAGCTTGCATTGTCTATAATAATCAGTGATGGTTCTTCAAGATTCATAAGCAATTGAAACCACTTGAGAAAATTCTGTTGATTCATTTCTGGATTTTTTGTATTAGAAGAAAATGCCAGCGCTGCTTCATCAATAAATCCATTGCTTGTATCTGCATGTAACATGTATTTCTGTAAAATAATCGTTAGTATCCATAAGGCGTGCGCATCAAATTCATACTTTTTTCGACCATTCCATATAAGCACTCTCGAATAGCACACTGCTCCGAAGTGCTAATATCACACACTTGCTTTGTTCGGGGGTCTCTATTTCTTGGGAGAATGTACACCTTCTCCGGTTTTTATTTGTTGTACCACGGAGTTCACTGTTCGCACACATACACCCAGAGCAGCAGCAACCCTCTGTACAATGTGACTGCATTACTAATTGTAATAAAATACACCTACTTATGTCTTGAACAGCTGTTAGTGGTAAAAGAGGTCCCCCGCTATCGCGTTCTTTAACAAAATAGCCCACTAAATTATCATCCATTTGCTTTACATCTTTGTGCAAGGGCTTCGGCATGGTGGAATGTTTACGTTCAAGCAAGCGACACGTACCACGGTACAGGACAGTTAACTTGGAGTTCTAAAAAGAACTGTTATAGTTCTGAAAAGAACTGATACGATTACACGAGCAGAAAAGTAGAAAAACGCGAAAAATCAAACAATAACACAACATAACCAAAGTTGACACCAATGACACTTGTGAAATCGATAAAACTTTAGCATATGTTTCGCTATCAGTCGTACCAATATAATTTCCCCCAAGTTGATCGATTTTGATCCGTATTGCCACGTATTGCGGTGCGTATTTTTGATTTAGTGTTGGTAACGGATCTACGTCATCCATGACGTGTACGCATTGCTTCGTGATCCTGAGTATATACTTCGAAATCACTTTGTACTTACAGCATTTTTTGAAAAATAAAAAGATGTTCTTTTTAAAAAGTCGGCTATTTCTAAAATGTTCAACTTCTGCTTAGAAAATACAATTAAGTAGGGTACATGACCAACAAGAAAGATGCCGTTCGTTTATCTGTAAAAAACGGTACCACGATAAACTTTCAAAAACACTCGGTATGTAATCAATTTAACGTACTTTTTTTTACTCAGTCTAATATTCTGCCAAATTCCTAGAAGTGTGGTTTAATCACCAACATGCTAAATCTTTTCTAAGGATGACTCGAATACAAATTATATTCCTCGCCCGATATATTCACGTATCTTAAGGTACACTAAATTTTTATGACATAGGAGACCATTTGGACAAATATAATATAGATAGTCTTCCTTTCATTGCAAAATCCTTATTTCTCTACAAGAAACTACCCTGTGAAATATGTTTTTAAGTATCTTGTTGAAAGAAAACTATACATATATGTCAAGAAAAAAGAAGTGAAAAATTTAGCCCCACCCACCCACCTCAATCTCAAATGTGATGAATTTTTCATTCGTTGTCAGACCGAGATGCAAAGCTTAATTGTAAAATCGGTATTTCCCAAAACAAAAATTGACCATTTTAAACGTTTTAAATATCTTGGCGTGAAAAGATAATTACATTTAATTCTTATTTTTCTACAAGAACTAATCGTCTAAAATATGTTTTAAGTATGGTGTTGAAAGAAACCTGTATATATTTAGAAAAAAAAAGCAAATAGAAGGCGCCACCCACCCACCCTTATCTCAGTTGTGATGAATTTTTCACCAAAACATGTTTTGAGTATTATATTGTTCAAAATATATCATTTTGAGAAACAGGAAACTGTGTAACCCTCTCTCCCTCACTATATCAACAATAACAGATGTTTCACGTGGTAATTGTTTGTAGAGAAACAAAGATTTTGCAATTACGCTCCGCCTTCTTGGCTCACGACGAATAAAAAAAATCATCACAAATCTGCAACAGACAAGTCGTTCCTGGTTTTGTCCCACCGGCACCGTTTTGACTTTGCAATTTCGCGTCGTCCCTTCCCTTTATATTTATGTGCTATATACGATTTCATCAATGTAGCGAATTCGCAAATTTCCTTGCGTTTATTCACTTTTAAAGTTTTTTCATTTGACAACACGATCCTGTTAAATAAAACCGGCTTCAACCAAATACTGAAATACACGTAAATTGAGTAACTCGCAAGCCTCCTGCCTATAAGAAGCCGTTCTTTCCACCGAATGTAATGTATATTTAAGCAGTCTACCGGCGCTTCTGTCAGTTCCGATGATAAATTCTACCTCAACTCACCTGGTGCTCGTTTGGTGGCATGCACTGCCGTGTTGATGAGGCCCCCCAGCTTCCCCAAACCCGTGTGGCGCATAGCTGGGGGCCCGGGCTTTCCCCCCGCCTTCTTTCCGTTCACTGGAGAGGCCCATAGGCCGATGACACCCGCGTGACGTATCGTGGTCCCCAAATTAAACGAATCCTGCAAAGAAAACCCAATCAATCAGTCACCCACCATTCCGACCACCACCTTATAAGCATTTCTTTTTTTTAACAGAACTAAGCTTTCGATTTTTTGACGTTTCGCGAACTCACGTCAAAATAGCAACAACGCAATTGTTTCCGACGTGAAGGACGTATCTGGGAAGTTTGAAATTCCTGCGGTATCAGCAACACCTGAAGAACTCGATATGCTTGACAGGTAAATATTTCCGACGCGAAATCGATAACACATGACTCGGGGACGGTCTAAATTGGTTTAAGGCGATACCTTTGGTTTCGAAAGAATAAATCTTGGCTTGTTTCGTGGCCAATTGTCAGGTGCAATGAATGAAATTTATGAATATTTTCGATAGGTAGCTTGATGCGAGATGTAATATTAAGTTCAGTTTACAGGTCAGGGCGCGGTCGAATGCGTGGTAGAATCTGGTTGATAGAACCAAATAAAAGTAAATAAGATCTAAATCCTATATCTGATAATCAGCAAACGTATGTCACAAGCACTAACTAATGAAGTCTTAACGGCATTTTCAAAGGAAACTACAAAATTTTAACAACTTTTAACTCTAGTTATAACGTTATAAATAACACTTACAATGCCACTGAATTAGGCGTAAGCTAAGGAAGTATTGTAATTGAGTCCACTGGACGACTAGTTACTTTGTTTTCTCGAAGTTTCGTCACCCCAAGAGTAGGAAAAATAGGTCTCCCGTTTCCGTCTGCCTGTCTGCCGTCTGTCCGAAATTTTATTAGGCAAATAATCTCCGAAACTACTGGACCGATTGTTGTCAAAATTTATGCATACTTCATTTTCTTTTGCGGTTACTTCTACACATGAAACATTGACAAAAGCTAACATATTTCTTTCCTGTTCTATTAGTTCTATGTCTAGTGTTCTACAATTGTACAGTAAAAATACCCCATTCAACGTAAAATATGTTAATGTGGCGATGAAATATAATTCTGGAACGACCTCTACATGAAAATGCAGCAGTGATAAACCCCTACTTTCAAATAGATATCTTTCTTATTAATGAATGAGATATTACACTTCTACAATGAATTATGAATCCCATAAACTGCGAAGGTAGTGACTTGCCTTAAGGGACGTTTCCGGAAAAATTGCAGGGTTTCAGAGGGGAACGTTAATTGAATGAAACGTTTTGAAATGTTTGCTAGAGCTATTTGGAGGTTTTTAGGCCCAAGGTCGTGGCGCTCACCGATGTTGATATAATAAATCAATTAGTAATGAAGTCTGCTGGTGGTAATTAGCACCGGCTGGTGTAACCTTTGTCTCTGGATATGAAAAATGAATGTTATGTGACAGAGTTGGGATCAATACGTGCAAAAGCTGATCATCTTTGTATGAATACAAGCATCCGCAGTATCGACAGGACGTCAGGTGGCTAGAATCCATTTCGTTGCGTTTCAGAGGTTTTATTTTCATTTTCTCGGATATAAAGGAGGCAAGGAGGTTATATGTGGAGATTTAATGAACTATTGGTGACGCAAATGCATCAACGTCGATGTTTTGTTGCTAGACATTTCAGACACCACCGGGGAATCGCGGAGAGAAAATTTGCCGGTGCCTAGATAAAATATTTTGAAATTTCTGTGATTTTACAGAATGGTAAAACATTTAGTACTGAAATAAAATTTCATGTCATCTTTTTGTGACATCAGGGAAATCGAGAAAAACAAGGATCGACTTACCAACAGGTTGCCTGAACATGATATACACCATGATCTTTGATTTCGATTAATTACTGGATGGAACACGTGTTTTTACACGATGGGTTTAATTGAATTTGCAATAATAAATGGATGCAACGCTCCAGCGATTTATGGGTTTCTGAACACGAACTAAATAGTGGAAACACTGCACTGAAGGCAGCAGTGGCTTAAAGAAATTTATATCAATAATAACTTGCCAAGTTCCTTGCTCATTCCTCCATAAATTTTGTTCACAGCAGTAGCCACAATCGTAAACGCATCAATTATGCCGTGTTTCACTTTACAAAAAAAAGATGTTTAATCTTTCTCTAATGCGCTCAAACTGAACACTTGGATAGTGTTGTTTTAATGGGTATCTCTTTTACGAAACAAAAATATTAATATTGCATATTCAAAAAACATTTTCACTTTTGAATTTGACATTTTACGATTTTTTTTCTATTTTTAATTTTACTTACGTAAGTGTTGTCCTGAAAAATTAAATCACGTCCAAAAACGAAAATTACACCACACAAGTACAGGGTTTTTATGAACGATTCTAAGGGCGTAGTTGGGCATGGATTTCAAAAATCCCGCTTCGCTGAAATTATGCCTCATTATGACAGTTCTTTGGCGACTTGAGCAGAATCTGCAAACATCTTTGACAACATTTTCTCAGCGATCAGGATTTCCCATTGCAACATGAAATTGAGCAAAGCGTATCAACGAACGGATTACAGAATATTTTCAACACTCACTGTGATGTTTAACCCCAATAAATTGGTTTCTTTTTATTGTAATGAATTAGGGCATTTCGTAAAGTTTAAAACTGAGAGGCGGCACGTTTCATGACCCACTTCGATCCTATAATCATTTATAGAAACCCTGTACAAAACGTTAACTAAATTTATTTGACCTCATGCGAAAGATTGATGACGTCACCTCAAAAATTAACAGGTAATATTCAGGTCTAGGCTTAATTTTTTAGAAATATCGACACTAATTGCAATAAGTGGAAATTTTATCAACTATCTATCTAAGAAAAGACTCATCGAATCTTCTTGAAATTGTGTGAACATTTTCCGATTAGTGTTATTAGAATGTGTTAAAATCAGTATAATTATCTCTACCAAGAAATATTTTAGGTTTGACTGTTTTATAATGGATTTATTTTGATATGTCTTGACTCAGAATTCGGAAAAATTTCATTCTAGGTTAAAAGATTGACTTAAAGTTATTTAGAAGGAATTTCCTTCGCCTCTGAAGTACAGGTGTACACATATATTCTTCGAAAAATTATAAAATGAATTTTGCTAATTTATTTTTTTACGATAACCCCTATAAGTTAAAAAATTCTTTTAATTAAATTTCCTCTTCGGAATGTATTTCGCAATTATTTAACAATAAAACTTAAATTATAACTCACTGTCCTGCCGGTCTCCTGAAGACGGGAACATGTTATCCAGAAATGTTGAGAAACCTTTGTATTGTTTACGCAAGGACACCTATGTCAGTTACGACATGTACAATGTAACAAAAATAATAAAACACAGAGGTGCACCATTCTCGATTTTAACAATAAAAAAATTGGTCTAAAGAGTTTAGACAGTACTTCCCTCGCTGTCGGAAACGTGACGATTGCATGGCTATTATGTTTTTTTTCGTATTACATTTTTGTGTCGGAGTATTTTAAAATAAAATGAGTATTAATTTTTTCAATTTTGTCATTATTTGGCGTTGACATCTTTGTCATTTTTTTTTGTGATTGATATGATTGCTTATTAAAAAAGATTAAATAAATTGGACGAAGTCGTCTCTGGGGTGTATAATCTGTTGCCTATGCAAAAACTGTCAGGCGTAAACAGATAAAAGGAACACCCTGTATAGTACTTATAATTTAAGACAACTACGTCTGCAAGATTTCAAAGTATTCAGTTTTGCAATTCTTGATTTAATCAATAAAATTAATTGACTCAGTCTTTAATCTTTTCCAGACACCCCGTACAAGCAAAACTAAAACATATTAATACATAATATAAATCACAAGTGTAGACTCATAATTCCTTACACATTTAAGATAGTATTTTTTAGCAAAATTTTGCGGCGGCGTCATCAAATTTTTAGGGAGGATGAGCAAATACATTTTGATCCAAATTTTACCATGCTTATGAATCTAAAACATCTCCAAGATTTCAAAGCATTCGGTTTTGCAGTTCCTGATTAAAACAGTAAAATAAATTCACGCATTCATTTTTTTTTTGAGTCTGTATATGCAAAACCAAAAAATATGAATGAAATGATAAATCATAACTACAGACTAATCATATTTTGCACATTTAAGATAGGATTTAATCGGCAAACTTTTGAACTGACGTCATCAATTTTTTGGAGGGGATAAGTAAATATATTTTAATTACAAATTTATGATGCTTATCATAACTATAAACCATCTGCAAGATTTCAAAGCATTCGGTTTTGCAGATTCAAAATTAAATTGCAAAATGTTTCATAATTTTGATTTTGTTTTCCAAAAATCTGGACGTTTCGGGTAAAAACTCAATTCGGAGTCGTAAACTACATGTTTAGGACTATATTATTTTATTTTAACCCATTTACTTTGTACAATTTTGAAGTGACGTCATCGCATTAGTGGTGAGGATGATTAGACAAATTTTGGTTAGCGTTTTACCATCTACATGATATTCCTAATATAAGTACAAATTTTCACAACAATCGGTCCAGTACTTTCGGTGATTATCTGTCTAATAAAAATCCGGGACGGCAGACAGACGGAAACGAGAGACCTATTTCTTCGTCCTCTAGGATCATGATTCATGAAAGATCGAGAAAACGTAAAAGTAGTGAGTCGGCCGACGGACTCGATTACAATACTTCCTTTGCTTACGCTCGGGAAGTAATATAGATAATACCAATAACAGTGTAAGAAATAAAAAAGCCCGTGTGTTACAAGTCCAAAGTCGCATACCTACTATGAGCTGACAAACCTTGTAGAAGCATCGCATATACTACACAATTTCGATTTTTTCTGTGAAATTCTAGAAAACCTCAAGGCGGATTCATAAACCACGAGTACAGGAGTATGTTATTTTAAAAAGTTTAAATCCTACTTGCTATGAAAAATTTTAAGGGGACGTTATCACATTGTTGGTGATGGTGAAAATTTTGGTTGCCATTTTACCATCTACACAATAATAATAATTTTATTCGTGCATCTACACAATGTCATAGAGCATATATTAAAAAAGATGTAATCAAAAATACACTCTGAGATTATGAATAAAATGTACGAAATATTATTATGATATTATAATATACAGGATGATGAAAAAATGACGTGTTATGCTCAATGGTACGTTGTTAAGAAGGCTCTGAAGAACTCGAAAAAAATTGTTAAAAAAAAGTTACTGCACCAAACTTGAAAATATTAAACGTCAAAATTGAAAAATTAAATTCCTAATTCTATGCTATGCACTGTTTTAATAGATACTTAAACGATTAGTTATTAATAATTTAATAATAATTTGCTAGAATACGATCCACAACGTCATTTTTTACATTTTTGTACTGTTGACAAATGTCATTTTTGGCAATTTTTATCGGAATTTAGATTTTCAATTATGTCCACTTTAATAATAATTTCAAACATTTGGTTTTGAGATTTTTTAACTATTTCGAGTACTTCAGACCCTTCTTAACAACGTACTATTGAACATATACGTCATTTTTTAATCACCCTGTACATTGTTTATAAATATAATTCAATACATTAACAGAAAGACTACATTCACAAGGTAATGAATTGTTACAAAGACAGTAAAAATGATCATAACGCATTAAAAAAAATTGCCCTTGTTATAAAAGCAATATTTTAACAAAATGTATTTGACCGTTTTCTTAAACTGATTTAGAAATAATGTGTTCAATGTGTCAAGTAGTTTATTATAAAATTTTAACCTCTATAATTTGTAGAGTGTTGGGACTTTCCTACAGCAGACGCCTCACAGAGAGATAGACAGACAGACAGAATTTGGAGAACTATTTTTTCGTACTCTTGGGGTCATGAAGCGTCGAGAAAAAATGTAAATAGTCAGTCGCCAGATGTTGTTGTTGAACCCTATTACAAATATTTTTTTAGCATACGTTCGGCAAGTAAAAATATGGATGCCTAGGGTAAAAATTAAAGACCACAAATACAACGGTATGTTATTTTATGTAATATTTTGAAGCAACGTCATCACATTGTTTTTTTTACCATCTAAACAATATTGTTAAAATAGGTATAACATTTCACAACAATCGGTCCAGTAGTTTCGGAGTCTATTAAACATCGACACAAACAATAGACAGACAAATCACAGACGAAAACGGAAAAGCCATTTTTTTATTATTTAGGGATCATGAAATGTCGAGAAAACATGAAATTAGCCGTTTACCGGATGGATCCTATTACAAAAAATGTAATACAATTTTTTAGGAAAAAAAAAAGTATAAAGTGTTGTTATATAAGTTTTATTGTTTTTGCGAAAACTGTGCGCTTCAGAGCGGATTCATAAACCACAAGTACAGAAGTGTGCTATTTTATCAAATCTAATGTATTCAGCAAGCAACATTTTTAGGTGACATCATCAAATTGTTGGTGTGAACTATGCGACAAATTTTGATTAGCGTTTTACCATCTACAAATCTGACACCAGTCGGTCCGAAGACATATTGTTTCCTGTTCTACAGGGGGACATGAATCGTCGAGAAAACATCAAATTAGCCGTTTACCGGATGGATCCTATTACAAAAAATGTAATAAATTTTTTTAGAAAAAAAAAAGTATAAAGTGTTGTTATATAAGTTTTAATGTTTTTGAGAAAACTGTGCGCTTCAGAGCGGATTCATAAACCACAAGTACAGAAGTGTGCGATTTTATCAAATCTAAGGTATTCAGCAAGCAACATTTTTAGGTGACATCATCAAATTGTTGGTGTGAACTATGCGACAAATTTTGATTAACGTTTTACCATCTACAAATCTGACACCAGTCGGTTCGAAGACATATTGTTTCCTGCTCTACAGGAGGACATGAAACGTCGAGAAAACATGAAATTAGCCGTTTACCGGATGGATCCTATTACAAAAAATGTAATACAATTTTTTAGGGAAAAAAAAGTATAAAGTGTTGTTATATAAGTTTTAATGTTTTTGCGAAAACTGTGCGCTTTAGAGCGGATTCATAAACCACAAGTACAGAAGTGTGCTATTTTATCAAATCTAATGTATTCAGCAAGCAACATTTTTAGGTGACATCATCAAATTGTTGGTGTGAACTATGCGACAAATTTTGATTAACGTTTTACCATCTACAAATTTGACACCAGTCGGTCCGAAGACATTGTTGCGTACTCTACAGGGGGATATGAAACGTCGAGAAAACATGAAAGTCGTCTTTCGTCAAATGGACTATTGACCACGAAATATTAGAAAAGTGCGTTCGGAAAAGTGTTCATTATATGAAATTCAAATTGTATTTTCAACACTCAGAAAACCTCGCGCCGCAACTGCACTCATTAAAATACTAAAATATGCACGCAAAACAACTCTGCAAGAATTAAATACAACTAATTTGTAATGAAAAAAAAATCCTTATTACATGAATCGATGGAATCAACTGGAACCTCCTTTGTTTTCCCTAGCAATGTAAAAACACAAAACAACGTCGCGTAACTTACCTTTCATGCCTTCATTTGTCACAAGTAATTGACATTTTCGTTTCGTAGTAAAGCCCCTAGGAGCTGCACAAGGCAAGTTCAGTTACGTCGTTTAATTCCTCCAAGGACTATAAAATAAAAGTTTGACTTTCCTAAACGCAAAGGTTAGATTTCCCCACAAAGACGTCCACTTTTCCGTTTTAGAATCGTCCCTCCGAAAATCATGCCACTCGCCTTTCGCCGTCCCTCACACACTCATCAGTCGTCGTGACAGTCGGTTGTTTGTCAAAATTCATCACTACATGTCAGTGATCGAAACAAAATTTTTCGTATGAAACTGCCGGATCTGGCTTAAGAATGGCCCATCTGTACACAGCATATCGGTGCAATTTATGCTGCGAGATCCCGGAAGCAGCTCCCATTTACCACTGTCCCAACAGACACCAGTACTGCCATGAGTGCTTTCGAAAGCTGCAAAGGCTCTATCGCGGTAAGTTTCACAACCCATGGCGAAACACTCATCAGCTGTCTTAGGTAGCATTGAAGCTGGAGGTTCGTGTCTCATCTGTCGATATACAGGAAAATTCGAAAAGAGTGACGTCAATACCGAGTTTTTGAAGAAGTTAAAAATGAAACCTGGCATCGGTCGACCGTTCAGGTACAACCCCAAGAAGCTCTATCGCGTTGACAGCGCGGGGGTTAAACACGTGACGTACTCTGAACACTTGGAAAAAGACCAGGGGGATGGTTTCTCTCAGAAGAACTCTCGAATGTCGAGATGCGTTAGCGCCACTGCGATGTCCAGACGTCCTTTAACTTGCCTCCACGATGGGTGTAGAAAGTCCGTGGCGGTTTCCTCTCTGGTGAGCCACTTCAAGCACGACCATGGAGCGGTACCATGCTTCGGGATTGAAAGGGGAAGAGAACTGCGGCTGGTATTCGATGTGTCTTTAGTGGAGCACGAACGGACTTTTTGTCTAGCACTCATAACAGCGTATGAATTTAGTAACATCGATGTGGTACGCTCAAGGAGTTCGCAGAGTGTTATCAATACTTGCAATAGGTTATCAGGGAAGGTACCACTTAATACGTTCTGGTTGATGATGAGCGGATCGACCGACCATCGCAAAAACAACTCGTACGTGGTTTTCTGGTTGTATTCGAATTCGGAAGATCGATATTGGTGTACTATAGAGTTGTCATCCAAGAACGATAAGATCAGTGTATCGAGCTTTTGCAATGCTGTTGGATTGCACGAAAGCCGGACCGTTGAAGAAGTGGCAAAGAATATGAATTGCCTTTTTGTCAGTCACGGCTCTTTCGTCGCCCTTCTCGGAGAAGGCGATAAGATTAATTTAAGGATCACGATACACTAGATATAAATTATCAGTTGATCAGTATTAGTTTTACTTAAATAAACGGATTGTTTTTAAGATTACTCAAAATAATAGTCTCTTTACCAAATATTTTTGAGTGTTTTCACTTCCCCTTTTTTTTTAGAAAACAGTGTTATTATCTCATATTCACCATAAACCATTCACCACGAGTACTTTTATCCTATACATGGGACCATTAGTTAAAATGTGTCTTTTACGCCTAAAAATATAGTATGGAAAAAATCAGGGAGTTCCCACCCTCTACATTTCTCAAGTACATTCAAGCAGTTGAGTGGCACACCCTGATATGGACTTGGGGAAAGTATAAAAAAATTAGAATCCAGACCCCAGAATTAGACACCTAAAAAAAATTTCACCACAGTTTTGCTACCCTTCAGAAAGGCTAACTATACCACAGCTGCACTAAAGTAAGAAGTAAGATAAATTTTATATACACAACAAGAATTTGATAACATCATCTCAAAAGATTCTATATTAAAATCATTTAAATGTTACAATAATATTGTTACGAAAGAAACCCATCCGCCCTCCCGGTACGACGCCTATGGGTTCTAGTATGTACGGCGATTATGACTGACTCATCGTCGGTGACGGTGGTCAGACAGCGTTGGCTAAAGAAAAGCCTGGAAGCGGAAGTTGCGATGGCTATTCCAAAAAGACCTCGATTGCGAAACATCTAGAACGGAACGAGATTATTCAGTCTACGAGTCGGGTCCAGCGACTGTAGCAAAAATTCAGGCAAGTTGTGCCAGAATTGTTTTGGACATAATCGCTGTGTAATTAGTTGTGTAAATTTGAGTTACTAAGAAAGACATTGTTGAGGTTTACCCACACCGATTTTATTCACCGATCATCGTAACAATATACTCCAACACTTGTAGTGTCGAATCCACTTTGAGTTTTTCCAAGCTGTACGATCACCTTTTATACTTGAATAAGCGACAGTCCAATTACGTCTCCGTAGACGCGTAGTATTACACTGCATTTTGTATTAAACGTTTCTACATTTGCGCGTGTCAAGTCAGTGCCTTGGTGATCGTCATAATTGATTTCGTTAATCAGGAATACGAGAAATTTAACTGAAATTTGTGTCTACTGAAGTAAGTAAGTAAGGTACGAGACAAAAAATTATCACGGTGCAATTTTTTAAGAATTTTTTATTATGTAGTCCTTTGATTAAATAAATCACCCAGTAGAAGTTAATTTAGCATACAAAAATGCTTTTTTCAGTGATATTTTTGCATCAAATAATTTCTGATCTGTGAAAACTCAATTGTGTCAAGAAATTTTGAGACAAAAAATTATCACGCATCACTTTTTGTATAAAAATTAAATAGAAAAACATAGTATGCGTAATTGTTGTTTATTTGTACGATACGTAATTGTTTGTTACAACTGTTAAAGTGTCGAAATATATTTGACCGAGCTACAATAATTGTCTTTCGTCATGGGCAAAGAAAACGATCTAACAAAATGTGAAAAAGGACAGATTGAGGCATACTATGACCAAGGTTTGACTTTTGCGAAAATATGAAGAAAAATTTAAAGAGATAGGACCACAATCTCCAAGTTTGTAAGGAAGAAATACAATAAAAATGGACGACAAAATTGTGGAAGAAAAGAAAAACTCACTGCACGTGCCAAAAGATCCATTGTGACTCTGGCTACAAAGGATAACATGTCGTTCCAAAGGATAAAGACGATCCTAGGACTTCCTGTTCACAAAAGAACAGTTTTGCGAGTACTGGCTAATGACAAAAATGTTAAATATGCCAAATATAAGAAATAACCAATGTTAACAAAAGAGCATATTCAAAAACGTCGTGATTGGGCCAGAGAAATGCAGACGAAAAATGAAGAATGGTTCCAGACTGTTTTTTCAAATAAAAAGAAATTTAATATTGATGGTCTTGATGGTTTTAGAAATTATTGGCACGATTTACGGAAGAACCTAAATACTTGTCGAAACGAGTCCAAGGAGGTGGCAATACTATGGTCTGGGGTGGCTTTAGTAGCTTACGAAATACTAACTTAGCATTTATTTCAAATCAAATGGACTCTTTGAATTACCAAGATGTGTTGGAAGTGCACCTCAAACCACATTTGAACCTATTTCAAGACAGCAAAGTGATTTTTCAGCAAGACTATGCGTCGATTCATGTGTTTAATTCATCGAAAACGTGGTTTCAACGACAAAATATAGCTTTGCTACTATGGCCTGCTGAAAGCCCGGATCTCAAACCTATTGAGAATGTATGGGGTTCTCTTAGAAAGCAGTACGCAACAGTTAATGAACTGAAAGATGGTATCTTGACGACTTGGGAGAATTTGGACGTCAATTACTTTATCGATTTGGTCAATTCTATGAAGCAACGCGTCTATAATCTCATAGAAGCAGGTGGAAAATACATAGGGTATTAAATTCGTTTTCATTTAGTTAGTTAGTTATTTCCCTTTTAAGCGTGATAATAATTTGTCACAATAAGTCCGTTAACAAAATTACTTATTTTCAATAAATTTCGTTCAGTTTTGTGTTTTCTGTAAAAATGTTTTATTAAATTAATTAACAATAGGATTGCTTTATCAACCAGGTATCTTCACTTTCTTTTAATACATTTAGGCAAAAATTCTGCCCCGTGATAATTTTTTGTCTCGTACCTTATAATGACAAAGTGTATTTTTTCTAGAAACTTCTGCGTTAATTTTTAACAGACTGATAGTCGTTTATGTTTTGCACAATAGACTTGTTTACAGATATCCTGAGCAGCAGGAATTTGTTTCAAACAACTTTAGGTAAATTTGGCGAATTTAGACGCACGGATCATTTTTTAACAAAATTTATAGAAAATTTGATATTGATATTTTACCTTCGAAACGTTGTAGAGGAAGTGACATGAATGATAAACAACAGAAGCTAAAACAAATCTTTTTAAAACATTATTGATATTATAATTACTCAAAAACAAATTAGATTTTCTGGCAGAGAAAAATTACATATTTTTGATTTGCTTAATGTGTCTAAACTTTTATTTTTTAGGAAAAAATTTCCACGTGTACTCCTAAAAAAACGCAAGCACGGCAATATATTTTTTTCGATACTTTGATATTGGAGCATCTTGTGGCCTTGCCTGATCACTCATGAGCCACCGCTGACCTAAGGAAAAATAAACAAGTGTGTTTTCCTAACATAATGCGCTCGAATCATTGACAGTGGCGGAGTTTGGGTGGTTAAACTATGAAACAAGCTCTTCAACAATTCCAAAAAATATATACAGTATGTATAACCTCGATAATCCGAATTAATTAGGAAAAAGTGTGTTCGGATTAGAGATTTGTTCGGATCAGCGAATTTCCCAAAAAGCTGAAAGGGAATTGAACAACCACTTCATAATTTCAAGAAATAAACCTTAATTTTATTAAACAGCAATAAAATATTCTTAAGCAACAATGGATAATAGATACATTAAAAAAATATATTACTTCGTGACCATAACCACGCGATATTTTTGGAATCAACACGTCAGGAGCTATATCCCTGAATTTAATTAGAATTTTTAGATGACTTTTTCAAAAATGAAATTTCCCATTATGTATTCGTATTATCTCCCTTATGCAAATTTCGACCCATAAATACTTTCATGTACATTTTGAGCCACAGAAGTCACTTCTGGCTTCGTTTCTTCGATAACTTCAACCGCTTTCCCAGAATCGTCCAATGAAATATCATAATTTTCAAAAATTTCAAAAAATTCAAACTTTACACCGAATTTTCCGAAAATATTGCTCCGTAACCATAAACACGCTATATTTTTGGAATTAGCACGTCGGGATATATACATCTCTGAATTTTTTCAAAATCTTTAGATAACTTTTTCAAAAATGAAATTTTACACTATGGTAGTACATACTTGCTAAATAACCCACCCTCTAACAAAAAAGAGGGGTGGGCCAGGCTAGTATTTGCCAAAATAAGACTCATTTTGATAAATGAACTACTTTTCTAAGAAAAGGTACTAGCCCCGCCCACCCACCCTCCATTTTCTTAGAAGGATAGGTCATCTGCCGAAATCAGTCTTATCTTGGCAAGTATGAGACTGATTTTTGCAAATGACAGATCCTCTAAGAAAATAAGGGTGGGTGGGCGGGGCTAGTACTTGTCAAGATAAGACTGATTTTGGCAGATGACCCATTCTTCTAAGAAAATAAAGGGTGGGTGGGCGGGGCTAGTACTTAACAAGATGAGACTGATTTTTGCAAATAACATAAGCTCAGAGAAAATAAGGGTGGGTGGGCGGGGTTAGTACTTGTTAAAATAAGACTGATTTTGGTAGATACCCACTCCTCTAAGAAAATAAAGGGTGGGCGAGCGGCTCTAGTGCCTTTTCTTAAATGAGTAGGTAATTTGCCAAAATGAGTCTTATTTTGACAAATGACCTACTTTTCTAAGGAAAGGTACTAGCCCCGCCCACCCACCCTTTATTTTCTTGGAAGAGTAGGTCATCTGCCGAAATCAGTCTTATCGTGGCAAGTATGAGACTGATTTTTGCAAATGACAGATCCTCTAAGATAATAAGGGTGGGTGGTACTTGTCAAGATAAGACTGATTTTGGCAGATGACCCATTCTTCTAAGAAAATAAAGGGTGGGTGGGCGGGGCTAGTACTTATCAAGATGAGACTGATTTTTGCAAATGACATGCTCTAAGAAAATAAGGGTGGGTGGGCGGAGTTAGTACTTGTCAAAACAAGACTGATTTTGACAGATGACCCACTCCTCTAAGAAAATAAAGGGTGGGCGGGCGGGGCTAGTACCTTTTCTTAGAGTAGTAGGTAATTTGCCACAATGAGTCTTATTTTGGGAAATACTAGCCTGGCCCACTCGCCTTTTATTTTCTTAGAGGGTAGGTTACTTGGCAAGTACTAGCAAATTTCGACCCATTTTCGACGATTTTCGAAATTTAACTAAATACTTTTTCTTGTAGATTTCGGGGCGCAGAAGTCACTTCCGGCCTCATTTCTTCGA